AGAGAGAGAGAGAGAGAGAGAGAGAGAGAGAGAGAGAGAGAGCAAACTATAACCTAAACCGGAAGGGAAGTAATATGATGGACTGTCACCTTGGCCATAGTAGCCATTCACAGGACCATGTGAGCTTGGGATGTGTTTGATGGTGGAATGATGCTGCAGTTGGGTTCCACTTCCTACCCCCCACCCCCAGCTAATCTCTGAATCTGGGTCAACTAGTTACAGAGCTCGGGTCCCAGAGCGATCAGCCCGATTAGCACTGACCTGAAGCTAACCCGACAGCTCCCTGCCTGCTTGCCGTGTAACCTGCCAAACATTTCTGTTTATTTGATGTGTGATGGAAACGTGGATGCCAGCCGAGTCTTGTTCCAACCTGCCTGCCTTCCACCAACCGTTCTATCTTTGTTTATTTGCAGAGCTTCCATCCGGCAACGCTCCAGGTCTCAGCTTTCCCACCTGGCTCATGAACCACCATTAGCCATTGTAGATCATAAGTCTGCTTATGAAGATGGAAAGGTCAGGCACCACTACTGCCAGGGGAACCGAAGAATCTCTCCTGGGGACCTCTAGGTGCCCTTTAAACATGTGTATAAGTGTTTTGTAGGTATATGTCTAGTCAGACCAACAACACAACATCAGGGCTTGGTGAAAGCTCTCAATTATACACACTTTTTAGAAAGCAGCACAAATTGGCTAATTGATTATGTTTAAGAGTACATGTTTTGGGCTGGGGATATAGTTCAGTGGCACAAGTGCTTGCCTGCCAAGCACAAGGACCTGAGTTTGATTCCTGCTACCAAAAAAAAAAAAGAATGCATGTTTCAGGGCATGGTGGCACAGGTCTGTAATCCCTCAGAAAGCCAAGCCAGGAGGATTAGCAGGCATTCATACCAGCCTGGGCTGTGGAGTGAGTGCAATGGCAGACTGAACTGTCACCTGAGGCTCTGTCTCAGAAAAACCAAAACCAAACCAACCAAACAAATAAACAAACAAACACACAAAAAAAACCCATGTTAACTAAAACTGGGCCATTATGAGTTAGGTAATAGTTTTTAGATGAGTCATTCTAATAAGCACGGAAAAATGGTTTATCACATGTACTTTAGTGAATTCTTTGCTGATGTGGTATGCTTTTGAAATTTAAAAGAATACTTACATTTTTTTCCTCAAATTTTAAAATCTCTTAAATTATAATAAAAGTGTTTGATCAACAAAAGTATTAATCAGGTTAAACCTTACACAAGTTATTGCAAGTTTGGATTACAGAGGTCCATAAGGTTTTACGGATATTTGTTTACTTCATTCAATTTTAGAACAATTGTTTTAGGGTGTATTTAAAATAAACATACTAATTTTAACATAAATTGAAAATAGCATAAAATGAAAGCCATGAAGAATCCACACAGTTAACAATATGAACCCTTGTTTATGAGGACACAGGTGTCCTGCTATGGTGAACATCATGTGTCACAGAAGGTGACCATCAGTCCCCCCCTAACTGTTTCTGGCCTTGATACTCTCAGTCAGTCCTCTATAAACCTTCGTTAGAACTTTTCAAGGCAACTTTGTCAGTGAGCTTTGAGTTCACGTTGTCTTACCCCTTTATTACATTATAAGCATCTTAAACTTAGTGACCACATCTTATTTGTGTTGAATCACCTTGGGCATTTGGCCAAATGCCTTCTATTAAGTAGGACATCAGGAGATATTTATTTTATTTTATTATTTACTTTGATTTTTGAGACAGGGTCTCACTATATAGTTCAAGCTGGCCTTGAGCTCACTATGTAGTGAGTGCTGGGATTACAGGCGTGTGCCACCACGCCAGGTGGAGATTTTTAAACTAGGATGAAAAATTGAATTTCTATGATTAAAAAAGCACAAACTGAGACTTATGAAAGCAAATAAGTGAGGAATATTTTAATTACAAGCACATCCATTATGCATGATGTAATTTTAAATTTGTCTTCAGTAAAATTCCACTATGTGAATCCCTTAATAAGTAATTATAAACATTGGTTCACAACGGAGAAATTTAGGATAAAGGATGGTACTATTTTTTGATTTTATAATTATGAGAAATGAATTATTAAGGCTCTCTTTTGTTTTAATGTGTTGCTTTTAAATAAATAGATACCTCAATATCTAATAGAGTTGGTTTAAATGAATTCCACAGAATACTTTTGCTTTAGAGGAGCAGGAGGAATCACAGTGAGAGAACACACGTTTCACAAGCGTGGTTTCTTACTGTATCTTGTTGCTAAAGATTCAAATCTCTTTCTGGTTTTAGAAATAGCTATTTCATTTATGTTTACAAAACTGCCACAAATAACTCTAAGATGCACTGTATGAATAGGAACTTAGTAGAGCTTCGGCAGAGAAAGAGCCAAACACTCCGTTGAAAATGTAAACATGACGATACCAATCACATTCAAGTTTTATATTTTTTTTCTAGCTTCTGGGTAAATGTTTGATGTTAAATGTAAAAGAGGAAGGGTGGGAAAAGAAAGCTGACATTTGCCATTTTTTAGTTAGTAGACGACTTCGCTTAGTCACAGAGTGGTTGCATCCCCTGCAGATCTGGAAATCAGATGCCCAGGATTCTTTTGATGAAGGAGAACTCAGAAGGGGGCTATTAATGAAGGGAAATCTAAATCAAGTGTAGGAATTCATTTTAGAGTGATCAAAATGTCCCGTATTCTACTCTGCTCATCAGCAATATAAATTAGAAAAAAAAAATTAAGTCAACTTATTTAATATCACCCAGTGTAATATAAATACCACCCAGTGTAATTTTTAAAAAATACCACTTTATTTTCTCTCTAGTTAAGGGCAATAGAAAGGAAGAAAAGAAAAAAAATGTCAGGGAAGCCAATGTAATTTTGCCAAAGTACCAAGAAAAGATCTTATAGTAATACTGTTTGTGTTTACAGTAAGTATTTTGTGGTCTTTTAGATTTAAGGAATTGTTTAAAAAGGAAACAATAGAATTAGGGGTAATAAATGTTGAGTAATGGAATTTCTAACTCCAAGAAACACTGTATGAGCGTTGCTCAGATTTAGTATTTTAAAACTTTATTAAATCCTGCAGGTCCAAACATTGGAAAAACCCTTTCTTTTTCTTTTCTTTTCTTTTTTTTTTAATGAAGAAAGCCTAACCTTTCCTTCTGTAGAATGGGAGATGTTCTGACCTAGGTTGCCAGTAGCTTACTTGCACGAAGCCGTGTCTCCACCTTGTGGTCTCTTAGAGCACTGACCAAACACTCAGAAGAGGTGGTTTTAAATCTCCGCTTCCCCATAAGTGGGCTTACTCACCCACAGCCTCAAGGTCAGCAGCTGACAGAGCGAGGTCCATTTCTCCTTGCTCCCTAAGCTGTCTGCTTAGCTCTCATAAATGAAGCTGGATCTTATATATAGCGAGGGGGGAGGGGGAAAAGAAAGAAGGGAAAAGAAAGAAAAAAGGGAAGCAAAGCTTTTGTAAATAAGGAGAGGAAGAGGGGTTGAAGCAAGGGGAGGGGAACGGGAAAACAAGAATCAAGGTATACCATGTACAGGTATAAATTCCCTATAATAAATGTGATAAAAAAGTACCAATAAATTTAATTAATTAAAAAACAAAGCCACCACCCCAGAAAAGAGTAATTTAGGTGTATGTTTTAGCCTCTAAAACTTTAAGCATCTTTTTTTAGCGAAACTAAAAAAAATGATAAAGTCAGGATCAGATATTAGACATGTACAACTTCATCAAAACTGTTAAAATAGGATTTAAGCATTGGTTGAAGATAAGACAGAGACAAGACCCATAAAAATGACTATTAGTATTTGTTCATTTGAAAAACCCCTGCTTCTTTGTCAGACTTACCATTCTTTATCATCAGATCCCAAAGTTACCTTCAGACAAGAGGCTGTTTTGGAGAGCAGAGGCCAGTGTAACAATTACAGGAATCAGAACAAAGAGTCAAGTGGGAAGTTATAATCCCCACCCCATCCCGCCCCACCCCCGCCAGCTCTCATAGGAGCCAAGAGGAAGGGAACTGGGAAAAGCCTGGTGTCTAGCATGGAACCATCTCCATAGTAGGCAAGAAGCTGTATGCACCATGGGTGTAAAAGCTGCATTTGTTTTGTCATCCAATAAACATGGATCGCACCTACTATGTGCTTGGCATTGTGTGTGAGATGCAAAGATGGGCAAGAGCTACGTCACTATTTCTGCCATGGAGTTGCTCGCAGGTACTTCTTTACATATGATGGAAAAAATAAGTGTGCAACTCGCCAGCATTACAGTAGAGGCACAAGTTCTGCAGTGAGCAAACATATGAATTTTATAATTATAATGCTCCTTGGGTGTGGTGGAACACACCTGTAATCCCAGCTGCTTGAGACTAGGGCAGGGTGATCCTCAGTCTGAGGCCACCTAGCTAATTTAGCAAAAACATGTTTCAAAATGTAAAACAGAAAAAATTGATGTAGCTCAGGGGTAAAGTTACATACAAGAGGCCCTGGGTTCTATTCCTAGTACCACCACTAATAATAATAATCATTATTATTTTATCTCTCTATGTG